TTTTTCTGATGCACAAGGGTTTGAATATATAAGAACAGAGAAAGATAAGAGCGATGAAAATTATCAAAATTCGTCCAACAAAGACATTATATTATATAATCACTCAAGATTAGGTCGCAGAAAAATACAATGAGGATAAAGAAGATAAAAGTAAAATAGAATGGGCCGCCAAAATAGGGTAATGCAGTATCTGGTGACAAGCAAGCTATCAGACTATAAGAATGAATAAATGTAGTTCAAACTGAATGAAATCATAGCTTTACTCGTTGCTTCGCATTGTCTGGCAGAATGTCAGCTTGTATGGCATGTATGTGTCAAGGAACAGAGAGTATATAACAAAATTCTTTTACTAGTAAAATTAAAAATATGTATAAATCTCATTATTATTTTAATTGAATTTTATTTTCTGCATTACACTGCAGGTAGTTCATTTGCAATTTTCAAAGCGTTTGTTTTTCACGATACCTACAATTTTATAAGGTCTTTTTTACATTATAAATGTTTCTCTTTTATTCGTTTATATCTGTGCATCAACTAGTACAGATAAAGAAGTGATAAGGAAAAAAAAAACTAGTTTACAACTTTAATACTTGCGCCTCTAACCATACAAGATCACACGTTTTAAATATAAGAGGTTACATTTGAACTCTTGCACATAATATCAAAAATTCTTCAAACTTTCCTATTGAATTACATAGCCCATTACACGCAATTTTAACAAAATATCTTTTTTAAATCTTGCAAAACGGGAAAATGAGTACAGGATGCATTTCTCTTGCTAGTTCGTATATCGTTATTGTTAGAATAGACTGAGTAAGCAAGACGTCACAAAACTGAAGACGAGGAAATATCAACAGCGTGACGTTATGACTGAATGATGGCCGCCGTGTAGCGTATGGATAAAACGAAAGTTTTGATTAGAATTGTATTGAAACTGCTCAGCAAGATAAAATGTGTCAATGCAGTGCTCAAAGATGCAACAATCATTCCGGATGTGCACCAGCTAATGTTACATTTCATAGGTAAAAGCCATAAACTGTTATTTTACTATTTCTGCGTATTCTTTTCCATGACAAATACAATTATTCTTTGGCTTGTGGAAGCGGCCATTTTCAGTCGTGACGTCACACCATGACGTTTCATGGCTTCATTTTCACTGCACGGGACATACGGAGAAGGCTTACTCCATGTATTCTAACCTCTATGATTCTAACTAAGAGTTGATAATTAAATGTGATACTTACTTGATCTGGTCATTGTCATTATGAGATATAGCTTATTATCAGCATTCTTGCGCATATTTAAGTTCAGCTCATGATTTCAAGCAAAGTATCAGGTTGGTAAGAAAGTAATTTCGGTGTTTTAGTGTGAAATCAGTTTTTTTTCTATACAAAAAATGAATTTTAATCAGTCATTTACGGAGTTATCTTCCATTCTATTCGATGATCTTTTGCCATCTTTCTGGTAACTTCATGATTCCGCGCTCAGAGAACTTCTAGTCTTTATCAACAAAAAACTTACCAAGTTCGAATTAAATTCATCGTTATTACTTAAATTTTTACCATTTAAGAAGTTTTGCAAACTTTGAAATAAATGATAACCGGATGGATAATCGCCATCACTTCCCAACCAAGCTCCAGTAATTTCGTACGTGTTGCTAAAAATGTGTGAGGCCTCGCACTGTCTTGGTGGAACACGATTTCTTTGAGATTTGCCTTTTGTATTTTATTGCTTCTTCCAGTTTCATAAGTTATTGGCAGCATACATCTGAGTTGATCGTTAGGTTGCTTGGGAGCGCCTCAAAACACACAACACCTTTGTAATACCACGAAATTGACATCATAATCTTTTTCTGATGCAGTTTAGCTTTCGATATGATTTGTGCTGTTTTCGATTAATGGTATTAAAGACGATTTATTTTTAATCACCAGTGATAATTCGTTTCAAGAAAGGGTCGACTGCATTAGTTTGAAAAGCATATCGCAAATATTGATTCGTTGTGTTGAGGGAATTTCTTTCAGTTCGTGTGGAACCCAGTTAGTGAGCTTCTTAACAAGTCCAAAACATCTTACGTTATTTTCAGTTGTTGTACCTAATACAGTTAACCTTTTCGCCATTTCTAGCACAGTTATATGACAATTCAATTCAATTATGGCTTTAATTTTGTCGTCATCAACTTCAGATGGTTGGCCAGAACGTTGGTCACCTTCAAGTGAAAAATCTCCAGAAGGAAATTTTTTAAATCATTTCGAATATATGCGTTTTATTAAGCAATCAGCATCATAAACTTCAATATCCCTTTCTGAGCCTCACCCGCTTTCTTGCCTTTATGAAAATAAAAATGTAGTAAAATACGTCGAAAACGTTTATTTTTGCGTTAACGTTAAAACTGACCGTAAGCTAACTGTTGTAAAAAAAAAGTACATGGAATTTGTTTCTCTAGCAACCTAAAAGTGTCAGCTGCCAAATCTGAAAAGAAGAAAAAGAATAAGATTGACGGAAGAATAACACAACAGACATAATGCTTTCTATTTACGCAAACCGAAGTTACTTTCTTGCTAACCCAATATTTCCAAGCTCACCGAGATTCTATTTGGCAAGTTATCATGTATCGATGAAGTTATCAACCATCAGTGTGTCTCTCCTCAGCATTTTGCAACACATTTATAACCATTTCGGAAAATATATAAAGATCATAAAATTCTAACAATAAAAATTATTTGTCAGTGGCATCATATTTTAGAAGATATTGCAGCCATTCACGCGTAAATTCGCTTCTTGGTTCAGAAAGTTCGGGATACAGGCATTAATCACAGTTTTAAATTCATCAGAAAGCGGAAAACGACATTCAATCTAACTTCTTATAAAAATGCTAAACTAAAAAAAAGTGAAATAATTCCTAACATCCTTGAAGATTCTCATTTAACTTGATTAAATGGAAATATTTGCTTCTTCTTTCATACATAGAGTGCTTTCAGAAAACATTGCGAATTTATCAGTTATTCAGTTATGAATACTAGTATTCAATTTTCGGTGTTTTCAATGACAGAAAACTCATTCTGACTCTGTTTCAATAATGAAAGCATAAATGGAACAACCATTTGTTATTCCAGTCAATATAACATACGAAAACCTCATTTGGATAGCTGTGCCTTAACGTAGCGGAACCGGTACCTTTAATTTAATTTCGTTCTTTACTTGTTTCAGATGGCCAAGTACGGTTTGGTTTAGCAATCAGTATCTTTTCAAGATTGTTGAAGTCAAAAATTTTTCTTGGTACTTACGTATAATCCCGTTGACCGTTGAAGCTGGCTACGATCTAACGAGATTTTGTGAAGAACCTGCCAAAATTGCGCCAATCGTTTTATCTGAATTTTGAAGAAATTTATATCTTTTTATTTACTAAACAGGTATTCGACTCGCTTCGTTTTCGCGCTTCTAAAAAGGTTTTCGTCGAACTCTATTCTGCTTCCTGTTCTGTACAACCATGTCCCAGATTTTCATCTTTCCTCTATTCCCCCTCCAGAATGCAACGAAAACCTATAGCAATTTCAGTAATTTATATAATTGTTCATAAAAACAAAACGTGGCTTAATGAGAATCAGTCAAAGTTGTTATCAAACAAAATCGCAAGTATTAAGATTGTATTGTTACGTCACACTTATCCTAAATTGGAACTAAATCGCGCTGTTTGGCAACAGTTTCATCATCGACGGGGTTAATACGTCGTAAGTACCCTTTTCTTCATAAAGGAGCCTTCACTGTTATGCCGAAACATATTGTAAAAGTTGTGCCTAGGCGAACACTGTACGCTTGCACAATGCAATAGGATATTTAAGACAGAGCACCAGGACTTAAGTTCAGCCGTAACCTGGCTCTATGTTTCAGTCAAGGTGCGAAACGTAATTCCTCTAGGAGTCCCAAGAAAAGAAAAAAAAATCCTTTACTCTGTTATGTAATTAAATCGCAAGATAAACAGAAAATTCTGCTACTAATGTACGGTTTTATTAAATTTACAGATGATGAAACTGGCATTAACGCTAACGGTTCCGCACGCCTCACTTTTTATTGAAAGAACAAAATACTTGAGCACCGAAGGAACAAATTATCCATTTCTAAATGTTTCATATTCCGGAAGAAGAATATTTATTGGTCTACCTATTCGGTTAACAAATCTTTAAATGATTTAGAAACTAAAATAAGAAGCTGAGTGCGAAGAATGCTATTTGAAAAATGTGCACTCTTTTCTTTTATCGGGACAGGATTCAGAAGTGAATGTATGTTTGCATGTATGTATGGTTGTATGTGTTCATGTTTGCATGTGTATATGTACAATGTATGTATGTGTGTATGTGTTCATGTATGCATGTATATATATATATATATATATGTACAATGTATGTATGTGTGTGTACATACACACGTACATACCTACATACTTTTCTGAATCCAGTCCCGATAACAGAAGAGTACCAAAAAATTTCTTTTAAATCAGGTGTACAATAGCTTACTCTCATTTACCTACAGTTTACTCCCCTGCCTCCTCCATATGAGGAGTGGATATGTATCAGGTTCTCTTAAAATAAAACGCATTTCTCCCTTTAAGTAGATAACCCTAGCGAGTTTTTCCGTTATCTCAACAGCGAAATAGTTAACCATTTTTTAGTTTCCTTTCATTTTTAGGTCCCATTAGTTTAACTTGTTCTTTCTCTAATTATCATTAACTTCTATATATTCATTAATATTTTTATCTATCTTTTACATTATATTTATATATTAATCAATCTCAATAGTCAATTAATTATTGATTGGTTAATTATTATTTTTATTTTTTATTTATTTTTTTCCCAACGAACCTGATAAGTAGCTTCAACACTCTTGATTTTAGTAGTAAGGTCTACGGGGAATAATTAATAGGGGTCCCTCTCACTAGATGAAAATTTTGAGTGATATAATTTACAGGATAAATGTCAAATAAAATACATAGAATAAATCTGCGCTTTTATAAGTAAATGGCCCCAGAAATACCTTTCTTTATAAAAATGATTACATAGAAAATTTAAAAGTACTATGACAAGAAATATATACACAGATGGTGAATACATTATGCAAGACTGTCTGTTTCGAATACCTTAAGCTTCAGGTTTTTCATGGACGTAACACATTTCCATCGTAATTTATATTTCCATTCATATTATCCATTGGAATTTCATTAAGCTTTCTTTCATGTACACTACAGCTCTTCACCTCCTTTATGAGCCTTTCTATTTGCAACCTCAGATGTTCCATCCTGCTATCTTGTTTAGATAAATGTTCTTCTAGGGCCTTGAACTGCGCTTGTCTAGCATGTTCTGAAGTTTCGAATTTGCGGCAGAATGTGTTAAAATGACTCTGTCTTAAGAATAATGTTGTATTTTTTATTTCATTGACTCTCATCATCTCATTTTTATTTTTCTGCTTTATTGAATCAAGGTACTCTGCTCTGTTTCTACCGGAAACTTTCATTTTGCGATCATGGTTTTCCCTCACTGCTCGTTTGAAGTCACGAATAAAACTGTTCTTGTTTCTCTGTACTTCAGATACTCGGCTTAGGCGTTGAGAAAGTAAGTTGTGCTTTATACCTTTTTGCGATAACCTTCTTCTTTCCGCAGCTTGAAGTTTTCTCTCTATATCAGACAGTGAACGATCTCTTTTTGCCGGAGAGGATACGAGAAATTTCGGAAATGGTTTATTTGGAGAATCTGAAAGGACTAAGTCGAATTTTACTCCTCCTTTTGACTCAGCCACGGATCTAATGTCAGTTTGGACATCGCTCATAGTTACGTTGGACGACATAAAGAAAAATCTGAGAATTATATCTCAAAATTAGGGAAAGAAAATTCTCAACAAAATTAGAAAAGTAAATTTTAATGGCACCGAATATAGTTTTCTCTGACAATACATTTGCAGTTTTAAAGTTTGAACTCGAAGTTGAAGTAACAGTTATTGTGAAAAATCCTCGATCTTCTTTTCTTATTGAGTTTACAGAGAATTTCTCGTTACTTTTCTCTTTTGCATGTGCTGTAATATCATATGCTAATTCAGAATTAAGTCTGCGGTTAACAGTTCTTGGAGATTTAACTGGAGATGTTACACGTGAAAATATGTAAGTTATTAAGCAAAACAAAATTTACAAAGACCATTTTTAGCCAAAAGTAATGCAATTTTTCTAGTCAGAACTCAATTTTTCAGAAATTATAAAAATTGCAAGTTAATACAAAATATGCTGTCGCAAAATGTGTGAAATGTTTTCTCAATAAAAATGTACAAATTTAAAATCTTGAATAATTTTTTGACGATCTCGAAAATTGCTAGAACTTTGCTCATTTAGGCTTAAGAACATAGCTGGTAAATATGTTTTATAAATTAATTTGTAATTATAAGTTAGAAAAGAAGAAAACTATGACATAGAATAGGATAAATTTAACTCGCATCGAAAAATTAACTGGTTATAATTATCTTATACGGGCGAATAGAATTGAAAGTGAATTGAGAAGTCTGAAAGTATGGAGAAGTATCATCGAAACTGATGAACCACCAAAAGCGTATTCAAGAAACGATGCTAATTATGAAAGTGAAATGAAAACTTCGGAGATATGGGATGATACTAATGCAATAACAAGAAATATAATGAATCAAACTGTGATAGCTCTATAAGCATTAAAGTGTGCGAATGAAAAGAATACAAAGAGGCTATGGGTGAAAATTAAAAATTAAATGGCGGCAAAAACCGCAGATATCCAAATCAATTGTAGAACAGAATTAGCTAAACTGAAAATGGAGCAAAATGAATCTGTAGATGATTATATGAACAGAGTTCTAATTCTGAAAAGTAAAAATATTCAAATGGAGAAGGAAATAAAAGATAAAAACTTAATTTATTTCATATTAGAAGAACATCGGAATAAATTTGAATTTGATGTCAAAATCATTAAAAACAACATACAAATATTAAATTAGACAAATTAGACTACAATTAGACAAATATTAAAATAAACTAATGAAAAAACTATACAGATACGAAAAGAAATAGAAATAGGTCTAAAGAAAAAGAAAACTTTATCGCAAAACAAAAGAAAACAAAATACTAAAAGAAAAAAAAAAGATGTTCTAACTCCGAAATATTAGGATATTCAATAAAAAAAAATGTCGTAATAATAATATAAAATGTTTCAGTTGTGGAAAACTAGACTATAAATCAGTTGAATATAGAATGAAAAGCATACAACAACACAGAAAGCCGAGAAATTTAACATATTAAACTCCTAAAATGTCAGGCAAGGAAAGGAAATAGGAATCAGCTGCATTTTTACTTGAAGTATCTAAGAAAAAAAGAAAAACTTCAGGTCTTAATCTTAAATGACTTAATAAATAATAAATTTCATCTTAAAAGATATACATGACCAAGAAATGAAACCGAAGAAAAGAAAAGAGAAAAATTAAATGGATTATAGATTCAGGAGTCACATGTCACGATACAAAAAAATATTTACCAATTTTAAGGATGATGAGCGAGTAATAATGACAGCTGAAAAGGCAGCTGTGATAAAATCAGTTGGTACTGGTAACATTAAAATGCAAACTGAAAGAAATAAGAAGCATTCTGATAATAGAAAACGTTCTGCGAGTGCCGAATTTACTGTCAATACCAAAAACTGTAGGTCAGGATAGATAATTTTACCGAAACTAAATCAGAAGTGATCAGTAAACATGGAAACGTTCTGCACATAACTAATAGAAATGGAAACAAATTTGAAGTTGAAGGAAATGTAATACAAGAAGCTAAAATTAGCAATGTTGATAATGTACTATGGAATCAGAAATTAGGTAACCAAAAATATCAAAGATTGATGCAGATGGAAAAAATTTCCTCAGTCATTAGATTAGAAAATGTAGAAATTTCCATTGCAAATCTTGTACATTAGAGAAAATGACACAATCGTCTTTCAAAAGTGTGAAATTCAAGCAATCCGAAGATATTCTAGAATTATGGCATACAGATTGACTTGGACCAACTGAGAAGTAAATAGATGGCAACTGTTATTTTCTTACAGTAGCAGACGATTACAGCAACTTCAAATTTGTGATTGCAATTGGGATAGGGTGAAACTGTAGAATCTTTAATAAATCTTATGACGCAAGAAGAGAGACAAACAGGAAAGAAACTAAAAGGAATTGGCGGTGATAGTAGCAGTGAATTCTTAGCTAAAAGTATAAAGGAATTTTTGGAAAAGAGGAAATTAAACATGGTTTACAATGTCTTACTCTCAGGAGAGTAACTGAGAAGCTGAACGTTTTAATCGCACTAAATTCAAAACTATTAGAACTATGTTGATTGATGCAGAATTACGATAAAATTTTGAACTGAAATCGTTAAAGTAGCTGTACATGTGAATAATACGAGTCACAAAAATGACAAAAAGTTTACACCTTATTAACTATATACAGAATGCAAGCCTAACATTACTATGGATCTAAAAGCTCAAAAACGAATTAGGGTAGACTATAACATGAGGAGAAACGTATATAAATTCACATTCCTGAACTAAATAAAATTCAAGAAGTGAGAGATGTAAAATTCAGTGAGCAGAAACTTGGATCAGATTTACTGAATAAAAACTATTTAAAATTCAATAAAACTCAAATATTAAAATTTTTATAATTTTCTACAATTAAGAAACTAACGACAGTGAAATCAATTCAGAAATAAACCGACAGAGATAAGAAAAAAGATGATATAATAGATCAAGAATCTGAGGAAATTTTACCGTCAAACCCAGATGATGAACATGGCGAAAACAATTCATAGGAAATGCTAATATCAGAGTTCCCTCAAGTAATTGAAGAACCCGGAAATGGTAGCCATGAAAATTCTATACAGAAAAGACCAGCAATACGACGAAGCCAACAGAAAAATTCAAAGATTATGTAATATACAATACCTAAGACATACGATAGAAAATTACCTAAGACATACAATGTGGTTATGGAAACTGCTGAAAGTCAAATTTGGCTACACGCAATGATAGAAGAATTGAGTTCAGAGGAGGCTAATTAATGAAGTTAATAGAAAACCATTAATGAAGTTTGGGAATTAGTTGAACGACCCTTTGATAAGAAAATTATTAAAAGCTGTTGAATATTCACTAAAAAGAAGAGAAAAGGTAACTTATGAACAATTTACAAAACAAGGCTAACAGTAGCCGAATTTAACCAAAGAAAAGGAATTAACTATAAGGTGAATTTTGCCCAGTAAAAATATCTGTAACTTTTAGAACGCTGTTATGAATTTCAGTTCAGAAAAACTACAAAATAAGATTTCTTGATGTAAAAATTGCCTATTTAAATGGACACTTGGATAAACCAATTTGCATGAACAACCCACTTGGATTTATCTCTGATCCCAACAAAATATATCTTGTGAATAAAAATATATATTGGTTATCACAATCGGGAAGATATAAAATTCTTAAAAAAAGGAATTTAAGAAGATTAAAATCATATCCGTGCATTTACATATATAAAGAAAAGCTGAACTGTTTTATCGTAGCAGTATACGTGGATGGTTTTAGAAATTCAAAATTCTGAAATAGATGGTTTTATCTCTCAACTTCCTTAATATTTTGGATTATTCCTTAATATTTTGGACCTCAACTTCCTTAATATTTTGGATATTTCCTTAATATTTGGAGTTCCTAAATATTTTGCCTGAAGTTACTAAAACATTCAGGTTTTTAGGGATAGACATCAGGCAAGAATCTGGAAAACTTATTTTCAAGCCAGAAAACTACATAACTAAAGTCTTAAATAACTTTGAAAGGGATTAATATAAACGAGTCAAGACTCCAAAAATATTGGATGCAAATCTTGATAATGCAGCGTCAAAAGTATCAAAAACAAAATATCAAGAAGCATTAGGCTCATTGATATAGCAACTTAGTAATTGACTTAGCAACAGTAATTGACTTAGCAACAGGCACAAGGCTTGACTTAGCTTTATATAAAAACATAAAACACAAAATACAGTTTAAAATTTTTTTATTTTAAATTTTACAATTAGAATTACAGTTTCTACGCAAAACTGGCTATTCGGCCAGCGGGCATGAAGGCAGATTTTTCGCTGCACAAAATTGAAAGTTTACTTTTGGTCTCAACTGGCAAAAAGACACTGAAGACGTATAAACTGATTAAATTTGTTGTGGACGCTATGCTGAGTCAGTGTATGGGATAATTTAATTACGTAAATGATAATTCCAGAATAGATTAAGCATAATTTAATTCGCAATAATAAAAGAAGACGTTACTTTGTTGTCGCGAAGCTTAGTTTCTCAAATTGGTAACAAATCCGCTATTCTGCCAAGTTTCAAATGTAAACAAACATGGCTGCTGTTTAAAAAGATTAGGCGATTAGGACTGTTAGTCCATTTCCATGACTATCTGTCTACTAACCGAACGAAACGAATGTTTGCATAAGGAACAAACAGTTAACGATTTAATTCAGAAATTTATAATCTCAAAATCACCAAAAATTTGCTTCTGTAATAATCCGCCTTCTAGACGTGTCATTGTCTAAATTATCGGGCTTTACGTGCTCAATTTAAAATCATCAAACCTGAATTCAAAATTCTGCTTTGGCGTACTTCATAAATTGCCAAGTTGAAACTTTAGTCAACCAAGTTCCTAAAATATGCAAAAAGGAACTAAAATGTAAGGTGGTTAGTTGTGATTATGTTGTTATTAGTTTTAGCTGAAGAAGGTATATCGGCTATTGTTGCTCACCGTTTTCGTGCTTAACTCTGTTAGATCCTTTTTTAAATGGTCTAAGAATATATATTTGAAGGATTCAAAAGTGCACAACTCTTAAAATAAATGTCTAGTGC